GAGCGCCTTTAGATACGCACTGGCTTCTGCTGCCTCCCATGCGCATGAGGTCTCTCTCTCTCTCTCCTTCCCTCACCCGCCTCTCTCTCACCCACTGTCTCAGACCCACGAATACACAAAGGGATAATGCAAACCAACACATCTGGATCCTGTATCTTTTCCTTTGTACAAATAAACTCTGCAGAGACATTTTTCTTTCTCCTGAGTGGAACAGCTGGTAAATTTTGCTCTTTGTTTCTGATTAATGATGAAATTTAAGGACTTTCAACAATTTCCAATAACATCTGTCATTCATGTGGGAAATTCAGGCTAAATTGCGGATCTGAATGTGGATAAAATCTGCAGGTGAATTAGTCTTTTTTATAATTGGAGTCTCAGGATTTAATTACAAGGGGAAGATGCCTGCCCCTGTGTGTGTGTGTGTGTGTGTGTGCGTGCGTGCATTTGGAAGATTTAACGAAGGCCGCTGCACTTCTTCTCGTTATCATGTTGGGGTGCTGCGCTGATCGGCGTGGAACGCTTTCTGGAGCCCCTAACGGCGTCGGGTAAAGACCTCATCTGCCTCGCTGGCGTGCGCTCGGGTTTCCCAGCAGGAACGCAGCTTGACGGCACGAGATCGGGATTCGATAAGGAGAAGTGAGCGCTCCGTTTCATCCAGTCACCGGGGTGGGTGGGGGAGGATTCACTACCCCGTTCCCCCCACGGCGGGCGGCCCTCCGCTGGTATCAATTAAGGAGCTGGTCCAATCAATGTCTCAGCACAGGCCTGATGCTCCACTACAGGGAGATTAAGGCTGAGCTTACAACTTCACACAGAGGAGACAGCCACACAAATTGCTCGCACAAAGACCCCCAACTCACAGCACACAGAGACGTTAGCTCAACAACCAGCCTCCTCCTTGTCTGCTTAGGAGTTGTATCTGGCGGCGTTTGTGCTTCGAGACGCTCCGTAATCGAGGGCCAATGAGTGAGTGTGTTCTCTCTCTTTCTTCACTGTTGTTTTTGTTCTCTCTTTTTGTCTCTCCTTGTGCTAGGGCTAAAGTCTGACCTAAATACTTCAGGTTTTGATGATTGGAACGAAAACAGGATCAGAGGCGTCCGGCGGCTCCTCCCGATAAGTGAAGGATAGGATGGGGGGGGGGGGGGGGTTTTCTCTTCATTCCACGTTCGGGGGGGGGCACCAAACGACCCTTGCCTTTTCGTGGGACCACTTCTGAGATGAAGAGCCCTTAATCCCCGATATGCCCCCGGCCCCCCCCTTAATATCTGCTTTCCCTTTTTCAACCCCACAAACCCGTAGTGCCCCCCGCCGACACTTTAGCTACACACGCACACACACACACACACACACACACACACACCCACACACACACACACACACACACAACCAAATGCCCGTGAATGACCACACCCAGAGCAGGGAACATGGGGTCCAGAAAACGCCCCACCATTTTTTAAGTGCACCAATTCATTTTTTTTTGGATAATGTGAGGAAATGTGATAGGTTTAACCCCCGTGAGGAATTCCCCCACAATTCCGTCACCGCCCGCTCCCCCATCCCCCCCGACCACCAAGCGAGGACGAGCAGTTTCGACCGGAGGGCCAGCTTCAAAATGTTTCACTCGGGGGGGGGGGGGGAGCACAGCGCAGCCTCCTCAGCTGCATGTTTGACATTGAAAAGAGGAAGGTGAAGAAAGATTCATCAGGGTTTTACAATCACAGCAATGCAATCTTTTTAACTTGTAAGAATATTTATAGATCATTTTGGAGAATTGAGACAATTCAGGATTTCCTTCACATAGTCAGCTTTGGGATTGTGGAAAATTCAACGTAGCTGTCAAAGATTAATGCGAACGACCAGAACACTGCACCACCTTTATGTGAAAGAACGTACTGTCCTTTGCTGGGTTCCCATCGTGGCCGGAGCTTCCAAACAGAAACTACCATTTCCCCAGTGTCAGTCTATCTTAACCTGATCAGCTTTAACGAGCACGTTGTTATCTGAGTGCAATCAGCCAGACAACACGTAGTGAAACCGTCATTCATACCGCCAGCAGGATGTGAATGTAGCTGAACCACTTTCTTTTTCAAAAGACTTGACTTTGACTCAATCTATCAAGTCCGCCAGTGACGGCGAACGAGTTTGTATTTTTAGACTGGATTGAAGTGTCGCCAGACAAACCTGTCAAGACAATAATGGCGCTTATTGATGCAAGAACCCGGAGATAAGATGCAGATAAAGCTCACGTGTCCCTCATTCCATTCACTTCTGTTCATCTCTCTACAGTCATACATCGAATTAAGGAGTGAAAATACTTTATCAATGTAAAAAAGGATTGTTTGAATTTTTCAGTAACTGCCACCTGTGACTTTGATTTTTTTTATAGAAGGCACAGTATAGATCTACACTAAACACACGTCTCATCTACAACAAATTATTATTTTTTGATAAGTTCCATAGAGTTCACAGGGTCATCGATCCCAGAGCCCCAATAATTCCCACCATGGTTACCGACAAACAATCCTCAAAGCACAATTACCTTTTCAATCAAAGCAATCAACGACTCCAGCAACATCTGAATCTGCACCAGTTGTCCTTTAAACAGTGGGCATTGAGTCCAGGGAGAATGGGGGCAGCGAAGGGAGAAGCACACCTCCAGCTCTCCGAAGTGGCTTCCCCTTTCCAAACACTGATCTGATACGATAGGAGCAAAGCCCACCAGGAATTTGTTTTCACCGCTGAGCGGATGATAGCGAACACACGCGGAGAGCCACTCTGGCCCTTAAGGATGCATTAATATCCTTCTTTCTTTCCTCTCCTGCAAAAAAAACCCTGCCAATGTTTTTTTTTGCCGTTTGTGGGAAAGGGTACAATCAGCATTTATTCCTCAGGACGTCTGACTGCAGGAGTCACGGGAAATGATTTGCTCCAGCTCCGGTCGGCAATGGAGACGTGACACCAGGCTCGATGCGTTGAAGTCAATCTGAGATTGAACTCCTCGATGTCACCAGACTCTTTTAGCTCACTCATTGTCAAAACTCACTTCTTTCAAACTCGACAAAATCAAAGCCTTCTTAGTCAATGGTCCATTGTTTTTGATTCAACACATAATAAACGTTTTCATTTTCCTTAAAAATGGTTTTGTTGGCGTCTGTGTGGATTCATGTTGGGAAGAACAATCTTTTTTCATTTTTTCACAAAACTTCTCCTATTGCGCTGATGACTGAGACAATTACAAATTCTATGAACAGAGCAGCGAGTCGCTCAGTGAAGGTGGGCGAGGGAGAAGGTGGAAGGTTGGTCGCACACAATGTGACTGTAAGCGTAAAATGTTGCCTTGAACCCGACTATTTATCTATTGTCCTTTGAACATGACACACCTGAAACGAAAAACGGCAAAGTGAAAGCGTCTACAGGCGGGTTTCCCCACGTTAAGAACATTCCGCGGGCACGTGCTAATAAAAATGAAAACGGAGCACGAGAACCGGCGGCCTCCGTGAATGGTTTTGGCGCCCGTCGGA